TTAACTAACAAATTGTCAATGTAAACTTCCATAGATTTCCCTATTTGTTTTTCGAACATCCGGTTTACTAGGTTGTGGTAAGTGGCACCGACATTTTTTAAATCCAAATGGCATTACGTTATAGCAGTATGTGCCATACTTAGTGATGAAGGAGGTCTTTTCCTAATAATCCGGGTTCATTCGTATTTGGTTGTACCTGGAGTAGGCATCAAGAAAACTAAGGATCTCGTGGTCGGTCGTGGCATCGATCATGCGATCGATGTTAGGCAAAGGGAAAGAATCCTTGGGGCATGCCTTATTTAAATCCTTGTAATCCACACACATTCTTACTTTGTTCCCTTTTTAGGGACTACTACTACGTTTGCTAGTCATTCAGGGTATTTGACTTCCCGGATGGACCATATTTTAAGGAGTTTAGTTACCTCATCCTTGATGAAGGCATGCTTGATCTAGGACTAAGATCTCCTTTTCTACTTCACCGGGTGGAATTTCGGGTCCAGGCTCAGTTTATGAGTGGTGATCTCCGGTATGATCCATGTCATGTCGAGATGGGACAAAGCAAAACAATCCATGTTAGCTATAAGAAATTGAATGAGTTTTTTCCTGAGCTCGGGAGTTAACCCTGTGCCCAGGTATACCTTTTAATCGGGCTGATGTTCGATCAGTATGACTTGCTCCAGCTCTTCGATCATTGATTTTGTAGCATCGGAATCATCGAGGACTATGAAGGATCGAGGAACCCCGTAATCATCGTCTTTATCAGTCCCTTGCTTGTCTAGTTGGGTCAAGGTCAGCATCGGTGATTGCTATTTAGCATTCTGTTTTGCTTTCAAATCTGGCTCCTTTGTCGATGATAGTATTGATATTGGAATTACTTCATCGACGACAAACATTTCCTTCGCACGCGGGTTGCTCCCCGTAGATCATTTTAATCCCCTCTAGTGTTGGGAATTTTAACACTTGGTGAAGGGTCGAGGGCACAACCCTTATGTTGTGGATCCATGGTCTCCCGAACAAGGCGTTATGTCTCATGTCCCTTTCGATCACATAAAACTTGGTCTCCTGGATGGTTCCGGATGCTCTTATCGGTAACGTTATTTCTCCCTTAGTAGTTTCACAAGCCATGTTGAATCCAGTTAGCACTCGGGCCGCAGACACAATTTGGTTCTGTAGGCCGAGTTGTTCTATGACCCTCGATCGAATGATGTTGGCCGAACTACCTGGATCAATTAACACACGTTTAACTCGAGTTTTATTCATGGGTACAAATATTACCAGTGCATCATTATGGGGCTGCATGATTCCTTCTGCATCTTCGTCGTTGAAAGATAAAGTTCCTTTTGGTATGTAATCTCGAGTCCATTTCTCCTTCGTGATTGATACTTTGGTGCACTTTAACATCGGACCTTGAGGAACATCGACCCCTCCAATGATCATATAAATGACGTGTTGAGGTTCTTCTTGCTCGTTTTGTTTATTGGAATCCCTGTTTTTGAAATAATTCTTAGCTCGGTCGCTCAGAAACTCCCAAAGGTGCTCATTGTTGAATAACCGGGCTACTTCTTCTCTCAATTGTCGACAATATTTTGTTATGTGGCCATGAGTGCCATGATATTTGCACATTTGGTTGGGATCTCTTTGGGCTGGATCCGTTTGTAAAGGTCGGGGGTATTTGGTATCTTTGATGTGTCTGATAGCCGATACGATGATAGCTGCATCAACATTAAAATTGTACTTTGATAACCGTGGTGCTTCTTTAGGTCCGTCAGGCCTGTCGAAGCCGTTCTTGCTCATGATCCCTCGATCACTAGCCTCGATAACTTCTCCTTTCATTTCGTACAGTATTTCGCCCAGATCCGCTACTCCTACGGTCTCCATTATATGACTGGTATCTATCTTTGTTCAACCTCGGTTCTCGGTCAATGTCCCTCTTGATTCTATCGACGAGTCTGATAGGATAAATGAACCGGAATGAGCTCCAAGTTGATCGTCTTTCACCATGATCTTCGATTGATATCGATTATGCACATCGGCCCAAGTAATAGCCAGGTATTCTATCAAATTCTGCTTCAAGTGTTGCGAAGCCACCGAGTTTCGAACATTGAGTCCTTGGGTGAAAGCTTGAACAGCCCAATCATCAGCAACCGGTGGCAGGTCCATCCATTCCATTTGGAATCGAGACACGAATTCTCTGAGCATTTCGTTGTCCTTCTGCCTTACTTTGAAAAGGTCCGACTTTCTGGTTTCGACCTTGATGGCCCCGGCGTGTGCCTTTACAAAAGAATCTGCAAGCATAACAAATGAGTCAATAGAATTAGGTGATAAATTGTGGTACCATATCATAGCTCCGTTTGACACGGTCTCTCCGAATTTCTTTAGCAAGACAGATTCAATCTCGTCATCCTCGAGATCATTCCCTTTGATAACACATGTATAAGAGGTGACATGCTCGTTCGGGTCGGTCATTCCATTGTACTTAGGAATCTCGGGCATGCGGAACTTCTTGGGAGCCGTGCTCGGGGGGAAAGGTTTTTGCACAAACTTTTTGGAATCCAGACCCTTCAATATTGGCGGTTCCCCCAGGATTTGATAAACCCCGGAGTTGTAAGTTTCCACCTTCTTGTCGTTTGCCTCGATCTTCTTTTCCCCCGACTCAATTCGCTTTGTTAGTTCTTTGAGCATCTTCATGATTGTAGGATCGATCCCCAATTCTTTCTCGTTCGATTTACTTGAAGTCGATTTGACCTTGTAGATAACTTCATTGGACGGCTCGGGCTCGATCCTGCTCGGCGGGTGATTCTGGTTTTAGAGCTGGGCTATTGCTGCCTGTTGAGCCTGCAACATTTCGAAGATCACCCGCAGGCTGATCTCGTCCTCTTTGCCGCCATGTGTGCTTCGAATTGCTGATCTAACATCTCCACGGACGCTGCCCTCGGGATCGACGACCAAATTTGCATTGATGGCTACATGAGAACTGACGTCGATTGGATCTACAACCGGAACTCAATCGAGGCCAACCAGAGGTGCGTCATTCCCTGGCTTTATGTTACCATTTTCGCCTTGGTGACCGAAATCATTGTCAACGTGCAAGGGTGCTGACTAGGAGTTCGACATTTTCGTCCTGGAATCGAAGATACTCCAAAGAACAAGTGTAAAATAGTGTGTGTTATGAAAGTTTGTACCGCATAATCACTATTATCCTTAGCCCCACGGTGGGCGCCAAACTGTTTACCCTCAAAATCGGATAACAATTGAATTTATACGCGATTTTAAGGATATGTAATATAACTTGATACAAATTAAGAAAACAGATTAATATTGAAATTGACGATAAAAGAATAAATGCAAATCACACAAATTGAACAACCTTGGCCTTCGAGTTCGATCACCCTCGAACCAAAAAATGCCTCAACTGATGTAAGAATAGAATAATAAGATGACAAAGGCTAGAAATAACAGTATATTGCTTTATGCTGCGTATTGCAATGTGTATTACAAATGACCAGACCCCCTTTTTATAGTAGGGGACTCCTACTCTTGATACAATTCTATATAAGGTAAAAAATCTCATGATTTGATAATTAATGAGCCTCTCCTTGATTCGTGCGGGGATTTTCGCCGTGATCTCCAACCGATCGCGGATATTTCGGCCTTATGTTATTTGGCTCGACAAATTTCCCCCGATCTTACTTGGTCTCGATTTTATTCGATCCCAGGGTCACGAGCTCAACGTTTTGACTTCGCCCCTTTGGTTCAATATAACCCGAGATCGAGCTTTAACGTGTCACGCTTCGGTCTTGATTGGTCACACAATAGGTGAACCTGTATACAAGAATAACAAAACAATGCTAGAACTTTTTATACTTCCGCTGTTAAACTCTTTTATTCTTAGTTTGTTATAAAAAAAACAAAATATTTTATACTTAAAGATTAATCTTTGAACCTTTTATTTTATCTAGATCAGCAACAGAAATATTACTCTATTTAACATTACTATATTTTTTTAAAAACTTTGTATTCTGTCAAAATGCGTCCCAGAATATAAAGATTGTAGTTTACCGGAATAAACGTTAGCTGAGTCGATATAGGGGTGTAATGGTTGGGTTCACTTGGTTATTTTATAGAATTTGTATCATACCAATTTTTTAATTTTTCGATTATCTTATTATGTATAATCAAATTAGACTTTTCGAAATCTTACCAATCATGTCGGTTTCTCTTCGGTATCGGTACGGTTCGGTTAATTTTCGATATTTTTTCAAATATCATATAAAATTCATTAGTAGAAGTAGAATGCAATAACATACGTACTTCTATAGGACTTAACAAAAATCTCTAGATATTTTTAATATTTAAAGGGTGATAAATTAAGAAAACAAAGTGATACATTAAGAAAACATGAAATATGACTAGAGTATAGATCCATCAACTACTGTATAATAACATAAAAGAAATTAAGCAAAGACAAAAAATTATAAACCACACGGGTGAAAAAATATTAACTAACTTGAGACTCAAAAATAAAGTTTATAAAAGATTAAATATTCAAAAAGATAAATTTAAATCATATGAAAGAAAACATATTCGATACATTCTAGTTTGCAACTCATAATCACTAGAATATCTTGTGTATTGCTAGTGAATATGTTAGAAATAATTTAGTTTCAACGGGAGTATCATAATAGTTTTGAGAATTAGTATTTTGAGTTTTAATTACTTGTTGACTTATATCCGTTTTCATAATTTCAAGATCTAAGAAAAAACTTAATGATTTATTACTTTTAAACTTATCATATAAATATATTATCCACTTGTAAATTTATTCGATACAATTATATATTTTTTGATTTATTTTTATAAAATTTAAAAACTATCGTTACTATCGGTATGATTATAAATTTATATAAAAAAATACAATTTAATTAAAAATTTAATTAAAAGAAACCTAAAAATAAATATAAGTTTACGGTTCGATTGGTTTAAATATGCATTCACGCACCCAAGTCTAGAGCCGAAACAAAAGCAGTGCAACAATGGCAGCAGCAGCAGCAGCATCCACCACCGCAGTGCTGCCGCTGCATTTCCGGCCGCACCGCCGCAAGGACCACCCTTCTCTACTACTTACTCCTCTTTTCTTCACCAAGTCCCCTACATACCCTTTACTTGTTTTTCCTTCTCCTTCTTCCAAGACTCGCCGCCATCTCACTCTCTCTCCAGTAGTCTCTGCTTCTCTTATGGTACAGCACTTATGATACACTTCTTTACGATTATTTGAATTCTTTGATTCAATTCAATATTCGGTTCGCTTGATATTCTTAATTTTTTTTCTGTTTTGTTTGTTTAAAAAGGAAACAGTGAATGGAGTGAGAAAATCTTGGAGTGGTTTAACTAGCTTGAATAATTGGGTTGTAAAAGATTATTACAGGCTTGTCAATTCTGTTAATTCCTTTGAGCCCCTTATTCAGAATCTTTCTGATGAGCAGGTTGGTTTTTGTCTCAACAATCAACTGTCATTTTTGTTAATCTTGTTTAGTTTGCCTTTTTTTCTTCTTCTTAATTTTATTTGTATTTTGTTGTGATAGTTGAGTGCAAAAACTGTGGAGTTTCGTCGCCGTTTGAGAGAAGGAGAGACACTAGCTCATATTCAAGCTGGTCTGACAAATTTTACATGCCTTTTTCTTTTTGCTATTAAAGATTGATTCTTTTTTTTTTGATAAGGTAAACAGTGAATATTTAAGCCAAAAGAATTAAAGTTCTTGTATTTGATCACGTTCGTTGCAATTTCTACCTCTAGAGGCATTTGCAGTTGTTCGTGAGGCTGCAAAAAGGAAGCTGGGAATGCGCCATTTCGATGTTCAGGTATATAATTCTTGACCATATTGATTATATAAACATAACATCTTCTGAAGGATGTTGATTTGCTTAATTTCACAGCTAATATACTTTGCACTTTTTTTGTTAATTTTCATCAAAAGATCATCTTGATGTTCTTGTCAGAGACTGGTCATGCGTAATGATATTATACATGGATGTTTGGTATAATCAAATAGATACAACAATAAACTACCTCTGCTAATAACTAGATATTACATATGTTAATTGATCAATTCTGATTTAATTGGAAACCTTAGATTATTGGAGGAGCAGTGCTCCATGATGGGGCTATCGCAGAGATGAAGACTGGTGAAGGGAAAACCTTGGTGTCCACGTTGGCTGCATATCTTAATGCCTTAACCGGAGAGGGTGTTCATGGTATGCTGTGTTGAGTGTGTTTGTCTGTAGGTATATTTGAATGAGTCAATCAATCTATCTGTTTAGTTATCACACACACATACATATAAATATTTCCCCATCTATTTCTGCTCTCTCAGAAGGCACTTTTGCCTGCTATATAGCTTCAGGACTATGGATGGTGTTCATGGATGATTGTTGAGTAATCTTCAATATCAACCATTCAGGACATGAATTTATCTGTGGGATTTTACCTCAAACATACACTAGTTAATTAGAACTGGCAAATATTAGCATGATTGCAAATATAAAATAAGAATTGTTGGTGTTTACTAATTTTTCTTTTGGCATCTCCGTTGACAGTCGTAACAGTGAATGATTACTTAGCTCAACGTGATGCTGAGTGGATGGGACGTGTTCACCGTTTTCTAGGTCTTTCTGTTGGCCTTATCCAAGTAATTTTCTTTAATTAACTGTCTTTTATTTTAGTGTTATGCTTTTTTTTAATGGTTTCTAAAATTTTATTTTGCAAGCAGTTTTCCAAGAATTATGTGTAATTCAAGGCTTTGGTCTTTTTTTTATTTTACAGACCAACTGTTTTTTTGGGTCTATTTTTATTTTAGAGACCAACTGTTTTTTTTTGATAAAGATTTTAGAAACCAACTGTTATAAATCAACTGTAGTATTTCTTTCTATGAACAGAGAGGGATGAAGAGCAAGGAAAGGAAATCTAACTACAGATGTGATATAACATACACGAATAATTCAGTAAGTTGTAGTGAGTTTCATGTGGTTCACTTGCATATATATTATGTCATATATCTTTTCTGGTTTATTCTTCTCCATTTTTCTTAGTTGCTTAACACTTGAAAGCTTTCTGACATCCTTTGATGGTTGATTTAGCTGCCCTAACGACTGCATGTCTCCTGCCTCCCTTTCTCCACCTTTCCCTTTTCTTATTTCCAATGGCCCAGGAACTTGGTTTTGACTATCTTCGAGATAATCTTGCCACTAGCCATGAGCAACTTGTGATGAGATGGTACACATTGATTGACCTTTTTCTCTCTTTCTTTTTAATTTGTGTGATGGTTCAAATTTACCTTGTACAAACAGGCCAAAGCCCTTCCATTTTGCTATAGTTGATGAAGTTGATTCAGTCCTCATCGATGAAGGAAGAAATCCATTGTTGATAAGTGGTGAGGTATGCCTCATTGTTTCTTATCTTGTCACAAAGTACTATTGATTATCCAAAATAAATGAATTTTCTTTATGTTACTGGAAAGTATTAACTGCATAAATTTTTGGTGGCTGGATGTCATTATTTTCAGTTTCCTGTTCATGTTTGCTTCTTTATTTTTGTTTTGTCTTTTATTACTCTTCTCGAATTTTTGGATGCACTCTCGCTTTAAGTTTTATTTTTGTTTTTTATAACCATGGTGTCCGGGTTAGCTTGCGTGCATCTCGACTAATTTCACGAGATACTTGCTATCTCCCACTATCTGGTTAATATTGTCCACCAAGGCTTGGACAGATGGGAAGAAATCACTGGTGCTTTTGCCTCTGCTGGGATTTGAACATGAGACCTCATGGCTTTCAACCCACCTCATTGACCACTAGGCCACACCCTTGGGTGGAGTTTGTCTTTGATTTATTTATTTTTGCCTTCTATCTCAGGCTAATAAAGACGCTGCTCGTTACCCTGTTGCTGCTAGAGTAGCTGAGCTGCTTATTAAGGGTCTTGTGAGTTTCAAGTTTCTGAGTTATCCCTTTAAAACTTGAGCTCGGTGGCGACATTACACATTAAAAATGATGTTTACTTGTACTATCAGCATTATAGCATAGAGCTTAAGGATAATTCTGTGGAGTTAACTGAGGAGGGAATTGCACTTGCTGAGATGGCCCTAGAAACTAGTGACTTATGGGATGAGAATGATCCATGGGCCAGGTAAACATTTACCTTGTTGTTCTGTTCGTTTCTTTGTTGTATAAGGTAGTTTTGTTTTAACTATTACATCAAACACTGCAGATTCGTAATTAACGGTTTAAAAGCCAAGGAGTTTTACAAGCGTGATGTCCAATACATTGTTAGAAATGGGAAGGCTCTTATAATCAATGAGGTACTTGCGGTAGAAGTCTCCCTCATAAAGTTTGATTGTATTCTTGGTCTCTTTAGGCTTTAGCCGTCACTGATGATTTTATTGTCATTTTGTTCATCGACTTTCTTTCCTTGTTCTATTCAGTTTAACCCTTAAGATAGAATTGTTAGGAGTTTTTCAACCATGAAGGAACTGGCATGGTCAGTTTTATGATAATCACATGCTTATCTGCATTGTTCTTGTGAAGATTGTCGTTCGACCAGTGGTTAATAATTCTGTTACAACAAGTATGCCCCAATCCCAAGCAAGTCGGGGTTATTGAGAAACTGCCGACAACAGGGTTTTTGAGGGTTTCACTTCTCATAGATCTGACGGTTTAGGCAGATATATTGAGTGTCAGACTGAAATTAGTCCAAATGGGGCAAATGGATATTGAGGATCATATTCCCGATCCTAACTAGTTTGGGTTTGAGGCTTTGTGTTGTCTAACTACTTTAGGGCAGAATTTGCTGGGTAGAATAGAAAATTTTCAACAAGGGAGATTTTTTTCTCATTTCATACAGAGCTAAGAAATCATGTTGTATTCTGAGAGGAAACTGATAATTATCTATTGGAGGTTTGGAACTTCCCAAATTACAAGAAATTGAAGTATTTTTTGGTTAGGATATGTGCTTTGAAGCAGTCAAAAACCAGAACGGCAGGTTAACTAGCTATAGCAGTGTGACAAACCTGTCTCTAAGTGATAGAGGAAGGAACTGGGAAATCAGAGATGAATTATTCTCCCGAGTCCTGAGTTCCTACCACTGTTACCCAATGCCGCGCATCACTCTGATCGTGGAATAGAAACAAGTTTTCAGTTCACCACCTAACCTAAAGTGTAATCCGGTAAGGTTGCGTTCTTTAGATTATATATCAATATAATTTCAGAAACCTTGATGAAAAGAACAGTAATTTCTTAAGTTAAAATGAACTTGGAGGGACGAAAGTAGTGAATTACCAATATTGGGAATTACATTTTCCCTAAGTTGAGTGGAATTCAGAAACGAAAACTACTTCTAAATTAAATAATTGTTGTAGTTCAGATTTCTAAATTTAGGTTTCAGAGTGGCTTTTCTATCTTTTTATTTATTTGTAATTAAGCCGCCTTTAAATTGTATTTTGACCCATCACTTTAATGCCCCACTTGGGTCACAAGCTCACGCTGCTGGGCTCGGCGACTTCTCTATCATTTCCACACTGTCAAACCAGTTTGCAGTTTGCTGGGTGATGGTTAATTGTGGTTACTATCTATCCTACTATTCTGTGTGAAAGCTACTCTCGTGCAACTGTTACTAGTACAGTAGTACGTCTCAATCCCAAGTAAGTTGGGGTCGGTTATATGAATCCTCATTGACCATGTCGTTCCGTTTAGGCCCATCTCAGTACAATAGTATATAAAATAAAATTTGACAAAAGGAAATATTTACTGTTAGCACTAGAAGTTCTATATATTTTCTACTCAAATCTCTGCCGAGTCTAAAAGACTCCTAGCAAATTGGACCTGAAGTGAACGTACTAATAAAACTTAATCCCAACTAATTGTTATCACCTACTTTTGTGGTAGGTCTGCATGGATTCTAAGAGATTGTAGGTCTCTCCAGACAATTTCCTTCCATGTGTTTTAGGTCTTAAAGCTATCTTATAGTTGGGCTAAATTCTAATCCATGAAAATGATTATATTTTGAAGAGCTTTGGACATATTTGTTGCATGTCAGACGTTGATTTCGTTTCTTGGTATTACTTTACAGTTGACTGGAAGAGTGGAAGAGAAAAGGCGATGGTCTGAGGGAATCCATCAGGCCGTGGAGGCTAAAGAAGGCCTTAAAATCCAGGTATACTATCTCTTACTGTTGACTGCTCCTTTCTGAAACTTTTTCTCAAGTATTATTCTAACTTTATTAAAAGTCCACGCTCTATTCATTTGTTAGGCTGATTCTGTTGTCGTGGCACAAATTACATATCAGTCGCTATTTAAGCTTTATCCAAGGCTCTCAGGGATGACTGGGACTGCAAAAACTGAGGTGGGTTCACTTTTACAGTTTCAAATATAGTTTATGTTTTAGTACTGAATTTCAATGCTTAGCAAAAACTGAGGTGGGGTCACTTTTACAGTTTCAGGTATAGTTTATGTTTTAGTACTGAATTTCAATGCTTATGATACTTATCACCTATATACGTGTGCACTGCAGGAAAAAGAGTTCTTGAAGATGTTTCAAATTCCAGTAATTGAAGTACCCACAAATTTGCCTAACATTCGTAAAGATTTACCAATTCAAGCTTTTGCAGTAAGATGTTTATCATACTTAAGTAAGTCTGGTGAGGTTTTGGGAAAAGGAATATGTAACAAGTCTCTAATTTCAATTTGCCATGATTTCTATTGTTATGCCTTCAGACTGCACGAGGAAAATGGGAGTATGTTCGTGAAGAAGTTGAGTTTATGTTCCGTTTGGGTCGTCCGGTTTTAGTGGGGACCACAAGGTGCTTCCATGAATGTTTTTGGTTTGATTTACTGCTTTAAAGTTATGAAAATGTTACCCTAAGTATTGACTCTCTCATATGCTACAGTGATTGATTACGCACTTCTTATGAAAATATGTATGCAGACAAACATATATCTTTGTGTGTGTATGTGTGTGTGTGTGTGTGTGTGTGTGTGTGTGT